AACCTAATTCGTTTTAAACATGAGAGTATATTTATCATTTGCGGAGAACTCTTTATCACAAATATTGCTAAGGTCAGTCCCTATTTTCGCATGACTGTACAAAAGAGACGCAGATGGGAGTACGACATTAAAATAGAAATCCAGAAGGGATAAACAGGAAACAATTTAAGAAAATTCTTTTATACAACTTTCTACTGCATGTCACGGTTTTCGAATGTGTATGTTTTGATGAATATAGTTTCAAAGTGTGGAAACTGCAAATATATTAATAAGCAAAATCGTACACAAGAGAAAATACAGTCATTATGTTACTATGATAACTGACGGATGTTTATCTCAACAGATACATTAACACTTTATTTTAGGTAATTTCTTGTAATGCTCTACAATAAGGTACATAGGTAAATGAAAGATAAACATATTCTCAAGCAAAGGTTCTACAATAAAGTTTTTGTCAGAAATTTTGCATTTGAGAGCATTTGGTGTGAGAACAAAAAATTTTTGGAGAACAGTTTTTGCCGATGTCTTTTGTTTTTTGCACAACACTTAAGATCATCTGTTATGCATGTTGTAAAATGTTTAGATAATATATCACTCGCACGTTCCACCCTTTTACTACAAGGAGGCAAATTATTTAAATAGCACAGTTTCAGTTTACTCATACAAGACTGCAGGACTGGCCACATTCATATATTTAAACACCATAAGACAAATAATTGAAATGTTCACAAACAAAACCAATGGTATTTCAATTGCTTCGGATGGGACAGATTTCCTCTCAAAACGTTCTGCTATTATCTGGCTATTTTACAGATTTCATAATTTATATCAAACAATTTATAATTGATGTTAGATAATTTAAAATTGTCTTGTAAATACCTATTTGTAACTTCACGATATACTTATCATTCTTTTGTGGCCATCTTTGTCACTTTAAACATTTGCTTGGTCTTTTCGTTTCCATCAACATAGTTTTGGTGTGTAATATTTCCATTTATCTTTCTTAATTTAAAAATTACTCCTAATCTCAACCTTAACTCATGGAGATGGCAGAACGCGGAAACCATCTATATGGTAATCGTATGAAAAGCACGAGAAAATAATCAGGTTGAATTATAGCAATTTACTGGTCGATTCTATATAACACACACAATACTGTTTGCTATCATTTTCCATTCCTGATATGAAAGGGCAGAAATATTCAAGTGTGTTCGTCTAGATTGCACCAATGCAGGTACGCTACGGTGATAGATGAAATGAACATTCCCTTAAATCTGTTGAATTTTAAAGCATTTTTTGGAGAAAAAAAAATCAACACTATGTACTGTAACATAACTTTGGAAACAGGAACAAAATCTTTAAATATGCTCATATTGTTCTTCAAATATATCAACTAGACCAGAGTTTTCAATAATTTTATCAATGACCTCAATAATATGATTATAAAGATCTGGGCTATCAGTATTTGGACCATAAACAACACCTAGTGTTATTCTTGATCCAATACTAGTGTCAGTATATACTCCCCAACCGTTAGATCTATATGAATTTATAAATAACTTCCAAAACCATATTTACATAAAAATGTTCTTTTTCCCCAATGAAATATGTAACCTGAAGTAAAAAAAAAAAAAAAAAAAAACCACTATTTGGGAATGAAAATAATTTATATTGAAAATAATTCCCCAGACACCGAGAGTTTGAACTGAAAATTACCACAATATTATCAGCTTGGTACAAACATAAACAGCCGGACAGCGTTATTCAAAGACATATGTTGCCTACCAGGTAAGGGACAAAGAAATACAGGAAGAAATGAAATAAAGTGTTTTAAAGGTATCAAATTGTAAGCGTAACACACCCCTTGATAGTAAGATAACACATCAAATTTAATCGGTTGGTGTTCAGTTAAAAGTGTTGAAAAAGCCGGAAGCGAAGATTTAAAACAGGAAATTTGTTAGCAATAGAAAAAGCAAATGGCTGGATCATGTTCCGGAAATTAAAAAAAAAGAGTTATATGAAGACGTAACGAAAGGAAATACTTTCATTTACAACAACATAATTAGTTTTAACATATTTTTTTATATTTATATACTCTTGTGCTTTTTCACAAAATACAAAAAATAAAAAGATGTGAAAAAGAAAAAAAGAAACGGAGGAGTCATGATGTGCATCACCCATCAAGGTTTACATATCGGTGTTATATTGTTTCAGAGTTACGAAGTGTAACTGAATAACGTTTCTTCTTATTGGATTCCTTTCGTCCCAATATTCGAGGAGCACTCTCACTATATAAGATAACACCACTCTATACAATAGGTAACAGGTACAACAAGTAACGTTCAACACACAAATCCATTTTGACTTGCATGGAGTTGTTTTCGTCTTCAACAAGGAATCAAAGGAGTGCCACATGAAAGGCTGTGTGTCCTTCCATCACTCAGAATAGCAGAGAGATGAACATGTATGCTATAAATGATTTTAGTTAGATCCTTAAAATGGTAACACCAGTTCATTTCGTCTCTCGTTCATATTCTCATGCTACTTTGTTCGACATGTAAAATCAAGAATTACGTTTCTGGATTTGCGTGTTTTGCGTGAAGAGACGCCATACTTTTGAATTAACAAATTTCACTTAGTTTTTCCTTGCGGTCTAAAAAGCAGAGTTGTTAAGATCTTAGAAAATCCAAAAAAGCAGACATGGTAAATTTCCTGTCTTTATATCTCAGCGTGACCTTGGCCTCACTGACTAATTCGAATCAATGTAGTAGTTTTATTGTGTCAGAAATCTGTCTGCATGCTAACCGTAACACATGCATCACACATGACAGCATCAGAAAATGTTTCAGTTTTTTAAAGACTTCTTATAGAAGTAGAAGAGAAAGAGAAGTGTTTATTTCGAGATTATTATAGTTTGATAAATTTCAGAAAAAAACATTTTTAATTGTTTCCGAATCTTTAGATATTCTTCAAAATGATTGATGTTCTGGTGTTTAAAATGCCTTCACAGCTTATTGTTTGCATTGTCTTTCCCTGCACAACCAACTATCATTAAATTAACCTATTTTTTTCTTTTGACATGTTCTATGTCGGTGGTCCAATGCTATCACTGGTATAAATAATTTTGATAAAATCCACTGCGACATTTATAAGTGCAATACCATTCGCCGAGTAAATAGCTATATGGTAATACCAACATGGCAACATAATCATAATCCATACCCGAATTCGATAAAACTAGGGTAAAATATGAACAAAAGATTTACACGGAGACTCATGAAAAAGTTCCGGTAGAGTAAGCGTCTTCTGCTGCATCGCCTTGGAAGCCTGATTCAATTCAAGTAAGTAAGGTCACATGTTCAAATGATAACAATGTATAAAACAACGGAACCATCAAGAAAGCTAACGAGCATCAAACACGTCCAGCTTCATATCATATCATTTCTCAATGAGATTACTATAACGATCATTAAACTTCCTCATGATTTTTATCAACCTGCACCTTTTGAACTCTTGTTTTTATGAATTTGTCCGTCAATTAAAGCTTCTTGCACGAAAATCATGAGAATAGGAACAGGCCCTTTAATATCGAATCAACTGTGACATGTAATTACCATAGGTTGGAGATACAGGGATATTGCTATCCAGAAATGGAAAATTCACGTTAGTAATCATCACGTTTATCATACAGCTTGGTAGTCCATGTTTGTTTCGTTGTAGGAAAAGATCGAATGAACAAATTCATTCCCTTTATTTATATATTGGACATATTGCAGGCCAATTCTAACAAGCACTGTCACCATTAACACCATCGAAATATATTATGCTAAAGGAAAATCCAAAATATGCTAGAATGATTTAATTACATTTCATATTTCTTAAAGTTTGTCCCTTGCAACGTCGGTTGCAATACTTCTTATCGTAAGCATTACTGAATGATATTGTAAACGATAATATGGCAAAGTCTCATGCATCATTTAAACATCGCATAACCTAACACGTTTATACATTTCTCCATATTTCTCCAATGAGTTTTATTCAAATAGCATTAACAAGTCTAGAAGAAAACATTGAATCATACCTGGAGATATACCTGTAAATGTCTGCACAATACGATTAATTACAATGCATGAAATTAAATGACTTGAAACATACCTCTAGAACTGCTAAACTATTTTGTTCCGTCAATCACTGTTATTACTTTTCGAACATAATATTATGTTATAAGGTTTTCGTATGCTCTAATGGTTTTAAATACTGATCCCATACTCATGCTCCTACGCGACAACCTTTCAGTAATTAAGTTTTGTTATTAAATATGAATCACCCCTTTTACCTTTGTATTTATTGACAATTATCTTTTTTATTGTTATGCTTCTATCTTCGTGTTACTTAATATCATTTAATAATTTACAAATCATTTGATGTCACAGATATCTTTCTTTTATTTTCAAGGCCGTCTGGGCAACATTACAATTATCTATCATTTCCAACACTCCAAATATAATAAACAACATTGCTTCATCAGGTCTATGTTAAACCACTTGTTGTTTTTGATACAAAAATAAGTGAAGGTCATGTATATATAGATGATACTATCCAGCGTAGTCAACATCTCAAAGTCTCAAGTATAGGCTCCACATTTAGCATCATGAGAGCAGAATCGATATATTATCAATGTACCCCTAAGCAGGCTATTTGGAGTCCATTTGAAGTACATGCCTTACAAATAACAGAGATGTTACTAAATTTGCTCAGTGTTTCTGTCTTTATTCGACAGTTACCTAAAATAGCAGACAAGTGTTTGTCCCTTGATAACAATGTGTGTAAAGAACGTGATAAGGGAGGTACCCTCTTAGCAGCGGGGATTCGGGACCAGCCCTACCTCTGTAGCTAGTGGTCACATAATGACATCCATATAAAAGGACTTCAACATTTTAAATCCCAACATTATCTTCTAAAACTGTCCAGAGATTACATTACCTTACTCTATAACAGACATGATACTTACTTTGACAATGGTGGGATTAGGCATTGTATTAACTTACTGGTACGTAATCTTATTTTATTCCGTTTATGAACCTTTATTCTGAAATTTGGAGTTCAATATTCACAATCTGCATTCCCTTATATAAAGGACCCATGTTTATATACGGTCATATTTGTTATGAATGTTGAGTTTGTAAATATCTATTTTATTGCAGGTATTTGAAGCTTCATTTTGGAGTGTTCGAGAGATATGGTATACCAGGCCCAAAACCTGTTTTCCTTCTCGGGAACATCATAGAAATTATGAAAAAGGTACAGACATTTTAAAATACTTCTAAAGTTATCAATGTTAATGCTTTAAAATCATTTTATGTATTTGGGTATTGTTTGCAATTCTATAAGTCCAATAAGTAATCGGCTTACCTTAATATTTTTGTTACTATAGGGACAACTGCAAGCAATAAGTGACTGGAGAAAGACATACGGAATAGCTTTTGGGTAAGTATGCTTTATAACAAAAACTGCTTAAAATAATTCGAGAATTGTTTCTATCATCTTATGTCATTTTTCACAGAAATTTATAATTGTCTAGTTCCTCTTTATTACTTTAAACATTATATTCAACAAATACAGAATACGTATAAAAGAGATATCTTAATTTGTGCGAACTAATTACACTAGAATTAACACTAGTGTGATAGCTTAACGAGTAAAGGCATGATTTATTAACATTCTTTAATGTGTTCTATTTTGTCAGATATTTTGAAGGATTTACCCCTGTTCTCTCTGTAAGTGATCCAGCTGTCGTTCGGGAGGTACTAGTGAAAGACTTCGCAAATTTCCAAGCCAGAAAGGTATACATTTAAATACAATGTAACATTTGAAATGGTACATACTAAAGCACGATCGCAACAGAAACAAATGATAAACAGTGAAATTATATACTTATATACATATATAAAAATCAGTTTGCTGGTAATCTTAATATAACTACATAAGTATTATAAGATCAATACTGCATTGCACCCTGTTACTTGCCGTTTCAGCCTTTCCCTCTTGCCCCAAGGAAGAGTCTCGGCCTGTTCCTGGAGAATGGCCATCAATGGCGGCGAAGTCGCAGTATTCTTTCTCCCGCCTTCAGCACAAGCAAACTGAGAAAAATGACAGGTGTTATGGAAGAACAGATAGACAAACTTCTCCATAAACTGGGCAATCAGCAGCGTGATGGTGCATTCTTTGACATTTACAGGTAAATATCTTCAAGGCTTATTACAATTTATTTTTCTGTATATTTCATGATATCTTAAGCCAGTTAGAAATAATGAAAATATATCATCACTAGTCATATAATCACATTTGGAATTTTAAAAAAGTATTTTTCTATTTGTTTTCATGCATTCATATACAGCATATGTCTAGAGGAAATAACTGTTTTCTCGTTTTGTTCAGTCAATTCCAAAGCCTGACGCTAGATGTAATTGGTCGTTGTGCGTTTGGCCTCCATACAAATGCCCAGCTGGATGTGACTGATGCTTTCCTCAATAACATCCAGACTTTGTTCCGGAATATGACCACTACCTTCATCCTCCCTGTTGTCAGTAAGTTACCATAGTAACATACAATTGTGAACCAATCGCTTTTGACTTCAAATGCTATGAATCCTCGTATCTTTTATTTGAAGCAGAATTCTGACAGCAAACATATAAAAATTCGATATATCCAGAAAAGTTCTGCTCTACGACTACTCATTACGTAATGAAGCTTTGTAACTTATAAATCTTAAATCCATATGCAGTGTAATAATGTGTAAATATTGTGTTACAGTGCTGTTTCCGTTCGTGCAGTACTTTATCTTCGCCATCAAGAACGTGATCCTCGCCATCGGCATGAACCCTGTATCATGGCTTCGGCGTCAGCTCATCGAAGTCATCCGTATCAGAAGGGCCATTGGGGTAGGTATAGGCTGCTGTTGTTGGTGTTCTATCATTAATTTTATTCAACAACGTAAGCCATTCAGTGTTATTAAAGGTCAGCGGTATATTTCTTGTTTTTCAAGAGATGTTGATTTTTCATTTTAGAATGACGATTCTGTGACAGACCTGATGCAGCAAATGCTATTTCATTCCAACAAACATCAACAAATGACTGACAGAGAAATTGTTGCACAAAGCCTCACATTTTTGCTTGCTGGATACGAAACTACCAGCGCCGTTCTAGCGTTCCACTGTCACGTACTTGCCCAGAATCCAGCCGCTCAAATGCGTCTTCGCAAAGAAATTACACAGCTCGGAGAGGTAGGCGTTTGTTTGTTATTTTACGTTTTGGAATGATTTTAAAGCATCTGGATCATTTTAAAATAAGTTTCACAGTGACATTAACACTAGAAATTTGAGTAAAACTGACTAAAACATTCCTTGATACTTGCAGGAAAAAATCAACTACCACTCCGTCCAAAACCTACCCTACTTAGACATGGTGTTTGACGAAGTGTGTCGCCTGTACCCCACTGCCTCTCTGTAAGTATAGTATACCCTTAACAAATAATTAAATAATAGGAATATTTTCACGTCGAGTTGATATTACCACATTATAAAAGATGTAATAATTTTCTTTAAAAGGTATAAAGAACTGAATATTTGGTTTTTGATGATCAGGAGAAAATCTATACGATAAATAATCATGTGTGATATGTCAACAGGATCGTTACACGCCAAGCAGCCGCTGCACGTACGATCGGAGACCTGCATATTCCCGCTGGTATGAACGTGCAAGTGGATGTCTGGGGACTTCACCATGATAACCAGTTCTGGAACCAGCCCGAGAAATTCATTCCAGAGAGGTAAGTTGCCGAACTTATATGTTAACATCTTAATAGTATCGATAATAGGAAAAACTAATCAACAACAGCCATTCAAATATCAGTTCTTACATATTTAATATTGGCAGTAATAGATGTATACTTTTATAGTGCATTGTAGTAGCTGTATTGAAAACATTATTATTTCAGATAGAAACCTTTATTTAACATCTAGATACATATATATAATATGAAAGTGTTTGTTTAAACAGGTTTTCTCAAGAAAACAAGTCTCAGATTCATCCATACACATTCATGCCATTTGGGGCTGGTCCACGGAATTGTATCGGGTCCCGTTTCGCCATGCTTGAAACTAAGATTGCTATTGCTCGTATCATCAAGAACTACGAGCTGAAATCCTCCAATATCTCACAGGTATCTACATGTCATATTAACAATGAAACTATTTTTATGAACCATTCAAAAGTGTTATTAACAATATAACCAGCAAGTGAACACACACATTTTGTATGCATTTTAAATATTTAAATTTCTATAGGCTATGGGAGCTTCTTCACATAGTTAAAGTGTCTTTTTTGTTTCCAGGATGGTTTGGCACTTCTATGTCGTGGTGCCATCGTTCCCAAAGATGGAGTATATGTAAAGCTGACTCGGGCAAGGAACTCGAAAGATGGATGAAGTTATCATACTTATATACATGGGTCACAATCCCAGTCGACACAGAATATCACTTCCCAGAGGTGTACACACGATGCTAGACGGGCATAGGATCCATTCAGGTGGTCCCGTCGGTGTCTTTTTGAATTAAGGGCTTCAATAATTTATCCTTGACTTCTGCAAACATTATAAAATGTTTTTGGTGGAAGGAACGTTTGACATTAACGTTGAGGTAAACAGATCAAAGCAACTATCCCTTGTATTTTCTGACGAATGGAACAGTTATCATACAGAATATGGAATATTGTTATAACAACAATGCAAAGTATGAACAACACACCAGTTCGTAATTACCGTATCATACTCATATCAGTTCTTGTGCGTGTGCAAAATATAGGCATTTGGTAGGAGCGAATCAATCATAAAAAGGGAAACTTTACTATGGCTATATTGGACTCTGAATATAGTTGTAAATATGTATATCTGAATTTTGTTCAATATTTGCACTAAATGGATTGAAAGATTATTTATGTAATTTTTGAACGATTCAGCTATTTACGTTTTATTTATAGATATAAAAGTAATATATTAAGAATCACGACAGAAACGTTTCAGACGGTCGTTAGTATATATTGTATATATTATTATGTATTTATATGTTAAGTTATCATTTCTTTTTAGATATGACCGAATCTCAGTTTTCTCCGGAAAACCTATAGTTTTATATAACAGGTGAAGTGTTAAACAATGAAATTTCAAATGTGTATTACAAACATGCCCCGTATTTCAAAACCAAATCAACGAAGCATTATGATAGCATCAAACTAGCCTTTCTAATAACTCACACTATAAGGGGGTTGAGTGTGTGTGTTAAAGGCGGGTTCTGCATAAGTTTGCAATTTTCTGGGTTCCTGTACCGTTTAAAAACTCTCCTAATGACTTTTATAACTGTTGTTAGCATCAAAATATCTCTCCGAAGGTCAGTCTAGACTGGCGAAAGTAGAGGAAATATCCTTTGTCAAAATGTGATTAGACATCTAGATTATAGATTTTACGCAGTGTCAGTTCACAGGTCTGTGCTCTTATAATGTCTGTTGGTAAAGGAATTCCATTGCTTTGTTTGGTTTTGATTCTATGTAATGCATTTTAAAGAGCTCATTTTACATATGATACAATTCAATTGTTCCCAAATGTAATCCTTTTACCATTATATGATAAATATCACGAAGGCACGCTAATACTGTTGTTACAATTGTTATTGTATCATTGGACCTATCAGTGTATTACAGAAAAATTACACAATTTGTGTGGCTACGTCTTATCATCGGATTAAGTAAGATCAATATGCAATTGTTTGATTCAAATTTCAAAAAAACTTTAAAAACATATATAGTTACAATGTTGTTATGTTTGTGATATGTTGACTATTTTTGCCAAAATGATATAATAAAACTCTCAATGAAATCACAAATGTTAATTTGTTTTCATTTCTTTATACTAAATTCATTCCCATCTAATAGAAGATAATCGTAATGTAATTTCTAATTAGAGGTCGCTTCGATTAGAGTTATTCTTCTTTAAGTAGTAGTTTAATGACTTACAGATATCCATTACCATGTGTACATTCTAATATTGTACCTTAAATGTTTATCTGTAGAGCACGACTTCTTCTATTCCGTCATTATTGCCACGTCTATCTATTAAAGGCTTGATCTCTTGGTTGGTTTAATCCTAGGATTATAATAATATTTAAGTGATATTTTTGCAAATGGTATTCAGTATAATAAAGGCTTACGAAAGTAATAATCGAACTCTATCTAGTGTTACTAAAAAGATATTTTTTGCTAACTTCAAAGAGTTGTTCCCCTTTCAAAACTTTTCGCGTGGACAACATAGGTAGTATCTGTTTTCCTTATCACTCAGAAGTTAACAGCTTTACTAAATTATATTTTATCTTTCATCATTTTATTCATCAGTTACATTCTATTCATACAGTTCCTCCACAGAGACATAGGAAAGCACAGGCCAAATGAGCTATGCTTAGTTACTTTGTCCTATCAGCCAAATATATCTGGAAAGTATTGTGGTCACAACATGATATATCATATGGTCTGTAACTGGAGAAATAATCCAAAACAATACCCAGGAAAGATTGAGAATACACAAAAACATACATTTCTTCTGTGTTCACTGTTTTAAACCATTACAAATATACTTTAGTATATTAATATCACAAGTAATTACATTGAACTTGGAATTGGCAATATAAGATTCTCAGATTCCAAGACAACAATCCTTTTTATTATAGAAATTAAATAATGACTTGAAAAATAAGTTTCATGACTTTGTAACAGAACAAGTCTGTGTCAGACCAGAATAACATGTCAGGTATATACAACCATTTGCGTTGAAATATCAATTATCGCATAAAAACATTGTACCTGACGTGAATTCAGTTACTTTGTTGTAAGCAACAATTTCAAATTTCAGCATTCTTTTAAAGCAATACAAATAATCCAGTCAGAGAATCGAACCCTAACAAATATATGTGATAGTTCATTATAACTTGATGTCTTTAATTCCAGTTTATAATTTCTACACAGATCAAATAAGGATAATCGACAACGCATCGAAAATGTTAACATATATAAATTGTGTACCACCTACTTGATTTATTAATATGAACTAAGAAATATACTCAAAAGATATATTGCAAGTCATATATCCTGGATTAAGTGTCTCGAAATATACATTTTAAACAAAGATACACTATGTATTTCAAATCGCCTTTTTATAATCTATGGGAGTTTAACATTTGGGAAAAGATAAGTCAATTGTTTACATTTTGCTCTTTTAAAGCGATCTGTAAGTGGATGTAAATTACTACCATTTACACTTATGACATATACCCAGTTATCTATAACAAAGTTTTAACGCATTTTATTGAATGATATTGTTAAAGTTACGAAACAGTTCGCACAGCGGTAATAGGTTAATTTATTGTTGAGAGGCTTTGTCATGTGAAATGCTTAGGGACTGTTAAGCTGTACTTATTGTCTACTGTATGTAGAGAGTGTATCACTGATGATTTAATTGGTATCCAGATGTTTATATACTTTCATTGCCAACATAAACATGGTACTTGCTTGTCTCTATTCTTATTATCAGTATATTTTCTGAGTCAGTTTAGGGGATAAGAACATCTTACCAGTACAATATTGAAAGTTAAACAACAGCAAGTCTAAAAAGTCCTCATGCATCTAGGTCTAAACGGATAAGAGTTTCTATTTGACAAAATAAGTGGAACAAGTAGCTAAAATGATATACTCGTTGATGAGTAGTTCCCATTAATCAATAAGATAAATGAAGTTTCCCTTTACGTGTCCCTTTTATAACTGCAGCAGAATTATTATATTTTTTATGTTAGCATGATAAGTGTTATGACGAGGAAAATGGTTTTCAAAATCAAACCTTTGGAAAACATCATCTTCACTGTATTGCAAGACAATTGAAATATAGAATAGGGTTGCTAAAATGTTCCAGCGGAAGTTATTAAGTTAGCATTTTACATCCATTTGAAAAGTTACGTTTGGTAAAATGAGTGTGTCTGGTATATGAAAATTAGGAATTTATTGAATTATGTTTTTACTTTCTTTTTCTATATCTTTGGATATTCCTCAGTCGCCTCTTCAGCTTTAAAACAAGCCAATATAATCACAATCCAAAAGGAAAATAAGACCAGGCGTTCTGGAAGAGTAAGTGTCTCCTGCTTCATCGACAACACCTGCTATGTAAATCTTGGTCAATCCCAGAAAGTCATGGTATACGACAACGTAACCAACAGTTAAACTAACAAACATCAAACACGTATATATGTAACATTTATCAACTTCGAGATCACTATAAAGACCTTAAAACTATCCCATAATTCACAAACATTCATGTTTTAAAACTCCTGTGATTAGTCTGACAGTTGACAATTTCTTGCACGAAAATCATGATAATCGGAACAGGCCATTTGATAACGAATGTATCGCGATATGTAAATACCATAGGTTGGGGATGAAGGGATTTTTGCTATCCAAAAAATGAAAATTCACAATAGAGGAATTAAAATGATCACGTTTATATACAGATTTGTGGAAAGCTGCCCATGTTGGTTTTGTTGAAGGAAAGCATCTCGATAAGCGGCTGATGTAGAAGAATTCGTAGTGTCCTGGATTTCCAATTCCCATGGATATATACAATGAATGTGGTCAAGAAATTTCTTGTTATTTAAAGACACGACGTCATCAATATACAGTTTGATTAAACGACTTTTGAAGGTTTAAGGTTTTTGTGACTTGTTTGGATAACACTTCAATAAAGCCTCCTATGAAAACAAAAACAAGTCAGTCAACAGGATTCGCAGTTAGTTCCCGTAAGTATACAAATAATTTGTTAAATAATCTTACCACCAAACTCGACTAAGGTGTTGTCAACCAGAAGCTCGACCATTTTTATTATTTTGAAAAATCAATTGTTCTTATTGAATATAAAAGAGGGTTTCGAAAATTGGTCAAAAGGTCTTTGGAATTCTTTAAAATCCATTTACTATTAATTCCTTTTCGTCTGTAAACAGTATCACAATAAGACTGTTAACCCAGGTTTGATAGTGCTAAGAATGGGGGTTAGAAGTATTAACATCGATTTCGTTGAAAAGCTAGACAAACCAGCAAAAACGTTGTTTATATAGATACTTGTGAAGTTTAGACATTCAATACAAACGGAGGGGGCCGGTATCCTTATCATTAATAGGCAATCTTAATTATTGTAATACTGATGCATGGTTAGCCAGCTTTTCTTTTACGAAAGATTACATAATGTATAGATAGAGTTTCCTTCGTTATCAAGCAAGCCCTGTTCTATTTGTATACAGGAAATGCAGAAAAGAATCAAGTTATTAGGCGTCTTTTTTCAAGGCGCTATCTTTAAGTTAGGGTTTAATATTTGAATCGGGAAAAGGAAAGCAGTATGTTCTCGTTTCACCAATTCTGTGGCATCAACGGAAATTGGTATTCATATTCGAACAAACAGATGGGGTTTCACCATATTAAGGACCCTTCATGAAAAACTCTCGAAGCTTAAAATTTTGAATAATGCTTAAATCACCAGTTATTATGTGCCTAGTTGGACCTTATATTTACAAATGGGGGTGAAATAAGAATAAATTGACGGAGAAGTTCTTACGTCGTTAATAATTAAAATTAAGGCCTTTCGCATAATTGAGTCTTAGAAGGTGAAACATCTGTATGTTGCAGTTCAAATCATTGTTTGGCTCTACTGTTTTTTTATACAACTTACAAATATTTCAGCTTCATATGGTGATAACCTTGTCTCAACACTGAAAGCATGTCTAGTTCCATGTTTTTGAACGACAAAATGCTTTATGTTTTGCGTAGGTTTTGTCTGCAATCATAATCACACAGCCATTATAAAATGGATGTTTACAGAAAATGAATTTGAAGTTAACCCTTCATCGTTTTACTGAAAATTAGGTATCACCCTTTTTTAAATGAAAAGATTTCTAATTTGATTTCTTCAAAGATAGGATTATCAGATTAACCTTACTTCTCCTCAGACAAGATGACCATGACTTACGAAAAGGGAAAGCAATGGATAAAAATAATGTTTTTGTTGTTAAAATTAATAAAATTATCATTTTGAACGGTACAGTTGAATTTGCAAAAAGCTTTCAACAACCTGATGATCATTATCAGATTTGATAGAATATATATAAGAATATTTTGCATAGAAATTGATGTATTGCTTTTTCAGCATCTATTTATAAATGGCGATGTGTAAAATATCTCATTACTGAAGCTTTGATGTCATATTTCAATGCTATCTTTAAAAATGCAGGAATAGGTAATATATTAGACACTTATTTTCTTGTGTGAAAGTACTCATTGATTGTTAAGTTAATATGTACACTTATTGATCTTGCAATATTGTTCATTTCTCTTATTCCTTGTTACACAAGAAGTTGATATATTATATCATATTATTTTATTTTATATTATAGTTCCGAGTTGGTCGAATAAGCAATTTTCCTTATTTCCTTTATTCTATTTCGTACCAAAAAAATTTCCAAAAAGTTGACATTTTTCTGTTAACAGTTTAAGTATAAAAAACAACAAAAAATATTTTTTTCAACAATTTTTGTTTATTTTTTGTGTTAAGGCCAACGACATGCACTTGATGTAGAACAACATCAGTGGACGTTCGAAAGCGGATGTTTACAGATAGGTTTCCTGTCGAATTGGCATTGCATTTTCGCCCTAATATGATTCACTATTCATCAGACTACACAACAATCGCTATCACCCGGTAGAAACGTCACGTCAAAGTGCAAGTTATCTCACTTGTTGACCACAGTTCTCCAGGGCAAGTTGTAAAGTACACAAGTGTACAACTAAGGAAATATGGATAACAAGTAAAGCACCTGCACTGAACGTCCGGGTGACTCGGATTAAGATATCAATCGGTAAAGTTGTAATGTGATATAAAAGATATATTAATGCTAGTTAATGATATAAAACATTCCTGTCAAAAATGTCGGCTTTATATCCAAACAGATTTGTCATGTGATGATAACATCCCATTTCGCTTATTTTTATACTTTGACAGTTACAAATGTAGAACCGTATGACTCGTACACCAGACCTAAGTGTCCTGGTCTGACGAAAACAATGAACGAAAGGAGACGTTATCCTGCATAGCTGTGATGTCACACTTATGATGTAATAGGGTCCAAGGTTGGCGTGACGTCATACGATTCTATTTTAGCTAATGAAAATACATGGATAAAAGTGAACCAGTAAGAGGAAAAACAAGCAAAACATGACCGATTATTTTGCTATATTTGGGGTTGCAAATACTAATGACATTTAAGTCACCGTTATAAGGTGTAAATATGAAAATAAATTAGGAAATTTTGTTCAAATCAATCACCATTATGACAAGACCTAACATATATATTAGAAACTTCATACACACATGTGTTAATTTACAAACAAAACAGAGAAAATAAATAAACTAGTTACAAATATCATAACAAGATTATTTACAATTTAAGGAAACACAACAATAAAATTCTCTATTTTTGATTGTAGTAATGTTCTCATCAAAACCTATTTACATCAATACAGTAGGGAGAAACTCCTGTATACATTGCTGCGCCCAAAATACTGACAGGCTTTACTGCAGACAGAAACGACAGCTCCCTAAACAAGTACAGGTGTTTACTAGGGTAAGACGGTAATCTGGTGATGTACCTCAGCGAGTACTATCATTTGACACTGGTGTGTATCATAACGAGACCCTTATTAGGCGCGGCCGTTTGTCCCGGGGAGACCTTGGAGAGTGCATCCATCTCCTCAGATACATTGCAGCAGTCGAGCTGTGTGTTGGCGTGTGTACACAAGATAGCACACACGTGGGCAGTATTCCAATGGAGGGGCGATGGAGGAGGAGTATGTGGTCGCACTGAACATAAATTCCTTTTGTTATATAACCCAAAAAACAAAAAGGAAAAATATAACAGCAAACAAGTCAATTAAAACAAAATCCCGGGTAGTGCTAATCACAGACACAGTGCAAGAGGTAGCTACTCCCTAAAAAACCTCACTAATCTAGGGGAATGCTTCTGGTATCCATAGTAACAACATAACAAACGACAGCAAAATAAGACGGGAGCTGGACGCCTGCCCAAACCACTATTCTCCTCACCAAGACGACGGTACATAATTTCCTCATGCAGTGGTTACCGCCCAGATACATGTGATGTTGGTCTCCAAGTAACAATAAAGGAATCGAATGACACAACAGTCTAGCTGGAGTACATGTATTTTGGGCACACAATCATCTTAGTTTCTCTATTCATTCCTAGGTTTTCTTTTTGTTTATATTTTTCGCCATTTACTTCCCTTTTTAGTCTTAATGTCAGTTGGTATGTAAAATTAATCCAAGCAAACACGCACGCACAGCTTTATATACAAAACTATAATATAGTCATGATCACGACTGTTTGGAATCTTGCATATTGAACCACACAAGTAAGGTGAAATATATATATCCAACTTTCACTCATGTATAGAGGGTCATTATTATAATCCAAATTATATGAATAAAGGCGAGGAAAAAGTTAAAGGGATCACAAGTCGGACGAGATTATCATATGTGACGGCACCATGTTGTGATACGAATCTGCGGCACGGTGACCATATTGTCCTGGACCCGCGTTGCCTCCTGGACCTCCAAACCTCGCGACATTTTTATTATTATTGTGGTTATATGATCCACTCATTTCCGGGTTCCAAGCCCTCATTCTGGGGTTGTAGTTTTCTTGTGTTGCCTTGAGGGGCTTTGGCGGGGGAGGCGGGGGCTGTTCCTGTTTATTTGACAGCTGACGTTGAAGCGTGTTGTAACCATAATGTGCATCAGCTGGAGCAAAAGAGACGAAGATTATTACATCATCGGTATAGTCGGTGCTAATTTTCGAAGTTAATAATGAAAGACAAGAGTCAAAATTAGTATGGTAATGTAATATTGGAACAAAATCTATAATTGACCAACATTGTCAAGAACAAAAGGACAAATACGGAACTGAAAATGACTTGAAACCACAAAAAGGCACACGAATACCTACCGTGCTAAAAGGGTACAAAGTACACATGTATACATAAAGATGAAAAAATGTATGATATCGTGATCATTATATCGTACTTATCCTGTTTATTTCTGCAGCTTATATCAACTAAGACATGTGAAGTCGCCTGCACCTATACCGTATGATTTTTATTTCCGGAACAGACACATTCTAGCTGTCACAGAATACTGGCATTTGAATACAACAAGAAATAGGTACAATGCACTTCCTAGATGCGGGGCACAGAGTATTTTGAATAAAATAGATTAGTGTTATACCAGGTATCGGTCACAGATCTTCCTATTAAAGAATTGTCAATTATACTTCAGAATTATCTCTACTATTTCCTTAAAACCTTCTAAAAGATGGCGTATATAACATATATAACATTCTGAAATAAAAAAGTTCAGTCTGTTACAGCGCAAAATGATAAATCCTAACGTCGTCAATCATTGCCTTGATGTTAAGATTACTTAGATTTGTAATCTCCGAAGGGTGCTTCGATTGGACCTTAATTATTGGATAGTGTAAAAATATCTTTTTTTGTCTTTTATGCCTGATTGAGTTATTTTGAGCAACAATAATATACATACTTACAACGTATGATTGATGGAAATCCGATGAGGCATCGGTCATTGCTTTAAAAATACTTTTGCATGTTACAACATCACATTTAATAGCTACTCGAGATTTTTCATCAAAATTGATATAACACCTGTTGATATTTCTGACAACACACAGAGCAAATATTTCATATACCTGTATTTTGATATATATATAAGTCGTGTAAATACAGTCTTAAAAAGTCTTCAAATGAGTTTGTTTAACATTCAAAAGTCTTCTTGTTATATATTGACGATGTTCATAAACAACTCCATCAGACTACTGGCACGTCAAATTTTATTTAAAAAAAACATCACTTTGTTAACCGTACTGTGCAAAACCATTATATCATTTAGTGTTCGTGTTTATATGGCTGCCATTCAGGATGGTTTCCACAATGTCTGTCTTTCTCATTTTATAAGATTTTTCTTCTAAAACTGTAACATAAGAATAAAGCTGCATGTTCTGCAATCAGGCAAAGAAAGACCCGCAGAGATTTCATGTTATGAGAGATTTTGACTGGAACATTCCGTAGTCTACCTACGCGTTTAAGAACTCTCAGGCTGGAAAGAGAACGTTCTCTACGACCTGTTGACAAATATATTGTTATCAGTCTGGCACACGACACTTTATATAAAACACTTAAAACTAAAAAGCCAAGTCAGAACTGACAGAACACGTGATCATCTGATTTTGACAAAAACGTAACAAATGCACGTATCAGCCAAAATACATAGCATCTTTGTTTTTATTTGAACCAAGACAAAATATAGAAATAAGCAGGATTACGACGTGAAATGATGAGACAAAATAGCCTAGTGAAGCTAACATCTACAGCATTCAGCATGCATGATTCTATTAACAACCATCGGATGGAGCGCGGGACCCCAACATGAATACATAGTAGGATTGGGCACCGGGCAGTGTATTGGATGTTGAGGGTGATGGAAAAGTGTACTGAAGAGGTCAGGTCATGATAGGACGTTTGTCTCTCGTTCCCGAGTTGGAGGAGGAAGCATGGGAATGGACAGACGGATGGAGGGCCGAAGTAGACTTACCTTCACAAAGATGTACCTGTGTTTGGACAAGAACGATTTTAGGATGGTGTGCCTTGGGTATTCCATGGGCACAGTACATTTTAATTCTGCATTATCTATACTGTATTGAAATTTAATGTTTTCATCTCATGAAAATTTACTTTTTTGTCAGTTTCAAGCCTTGCTCTAAGGCTGTCATTTTCTCCCCCAATAAATTTGTTAAACATCTATCATATTAATTAATTATAGATGAAAACATTTTTAAAGTTAAAAGTGGTTGGAGTACAGTTATAAGTTTAACACATTCTGGGTGTTGTTTGTGATTCTTTGTAGAAGTTTGTAAAGCAGATTTTTGTTTTTCGTCCTGCAACAGATTGCAATCTAATCCGAATACATTTTTATCATCTATTGTTTCATCTTAAGTCAAACACTGATTTGTATCTCTGGAAAAACCCTAAAGGAGCCCAAGGAGTTCTTAAAACTAAAACTAAAACAAAGGATGGCCGCGCTTAACAAATTGTTGACCTGATGCCTCTGTATTACCCCATATGTCGTAAAACAGTTTTTAAATAATAAAATCGTTTGTAATAATGTTGGGAAACATTTTAATAATTATCAAGCTCTTGATGTCTTAACACCGCATTGGGACCAATGTGCCATGAATTCAGCTCCTTATTGCAATAATGTAAAGGTAAGTAACCCTGTTCCTTTAGAGTAGGGCTGATAGTGAGGTGTCTCTGTTGACGTATATGTAACTCTTGTTGGACATTCCCTCCCCTCTGTAGGTATCTAGGATAAAACTAGGGACACGTTATGATCGGTATGATGCCTTCTTTTATTAGACCCCCAGATAGCTGTATGGGTTTTTTATAAACTACAGCGACATTTAGCGATTAGCTGACTAATCTCAACGACCCAATTGATATATCATAATTTTGGCTTTATCAGTCATTATTCAGCTGAAACCTGTCACAAGGTTACATTAAGCTGCCAACTGTAAAAAAATTGGCATATACCCTGCTATACAAAGCGGTTATCTTGATATACAAACTGTCCCCGATTGATAGTAACCAAAGAAACTAACGTGAATATAAGAGCTCATATGTATGTCATTATACCGCTACTTACAGTTACCAATTTTGTTGGCTACTTAGATATTGTGTGAAATAATATCACCTATTGTGGAATTGAAAGTCTATTATGTGATATGCATACGGATGTGCTACGTTCCTCTTAACACATTTCACTTTATATTTTACTGGAAAAACAACGCAAAAGAAAGTGACACACTGCGTGGGAGGTATAGAGATACTTCACACTGAAATATGTGATAAAGTGTTTGTGTACACTCTGCCAGTGCAGCAAGGTTTTACTGTGAAGAAGACAATAACCGTTTAATTGCTCTGTTGCTACAGCTGTACGATATTACGTCCCCTTCACCATGTGCTACTTATTGCACATAGAAAGCACGTACATGCACGTGTGTCTCGTGGGCGTATAGTTAACATGAATACAAATGAAACACAGTGTTCCTATAGGGGATATCCCTAGCAACAACTATAAACAGTTAGATCCAATTAGTGCACAGCTCAATTAGCATTAGTTGTAGGCTAGATTTTGTGAGGCCTAACATAACCATACACATTCGCTTTCACTAAGCTCTAAGCACCCTATCACGTAAGCTTTCACTGTCTCATATATAAATCTACGGAAAAAAAAACCCACTTCGGCTGTTTTATAGCAGATATGTTCTTAACGTTACAAATATTATCCAAATTTTTAATATTGAGTTAAATAAACGTTAGTATTTTTCATAGCATATCCCAAAATGTATTACTTTCTTTTTCCATGTATTAAGTGGTAAAATGAAAGATTTCAGCTTAATGATTATGTTTTCTTTGATGATTATATAATGCTTAGATAATTTTACGTGTTGTTGTTATGAGATAAATTATGTATAATTGTATATATTGTATAGCAGTTGAGAGAAGTATACAAATAATTTAAAGATAATGTGCCGTCATTTTCCAGGTAAAAATACAAAAAAGCATTAAACAACAGACTACTCACCCTGAACGGTTGTTGATGCGGGGCTACACCCCCATCCTTTGGGAGTACGGTTAAAGTTTGGCCCAGTCACTGTAGCAATATTTTGAGTTCCGGTTAAGTCATGGGCGACGGGAGGGGCCGGCTGTGGCAGCTGGGGTGCCGGGGTATATTTTTGCTGTGGGGTGGGTTTTGTATAGTCCATGTAGTCAAACGCACTATCCACACGTCCTTGGGAATTACCCAAGGCAGCCTCCCATGGAGTGGGAGCCTTGTTCTGCACGGTGGTTGTTGACTCCAAAAATGAATTAATTTTCTCTTGTGACAACATCGGTTTTGGGGCGTTGCGTTCGTCGATGACCCATTTTTCAGATCGTGCTTGACGTTTTTGAAATAATTTTGCTCCCCTGTTTCGCTGGTTGTGTAGGTCGGCTACCAGGCTTTGACAGGTGCTTGGAGACACTGCTTTGTGATCGCATTTTTTCTGTTGTAACCTCAATTGTTCAAATTCTTGCTGTGAAATACTCATTTTTGGAGTTCCGTCCTCTGTCAACAGAATGCGGTTCTTGATGTTCGGTATTCGAAAGGTGAACAGTGGGCGGGATCCACCGTCGGTCAGGTGGAGTTCGCTGTCGAGGTCGTGTAGGTCAGCTACGTCCCCGGCTGAAGACGATCCGATGTGTGACTCGCCATCGTGTATCCATTTGCTAGCGCGTCGTTTACGCTTGGCAAACATCTTGGCTCCTCTCGCCTTCTTATTGGCTGCCGACGTCAACGAACGCGCGATTTTCTTACATAGGATGATTTGGTCTTCGATGGTAGGGTAGTCAGTGTCAGGAGCATCGTAGAAAGCGGAGTCGTTGTAAAGTTTCTCTGTGGGGACAATATAGAGGGTTAGTTACTCCACAATTAAAGTTAGTCAATTATGTGTGTTTTAAATCAAATGTCAACTAAATTATGACTTCTAAACAAACAATATATTGCTCCCTTTCATATCTTATCAGTTTTCATTTGAGTGTAACGTTATGGATAGTATGTTCGTAAATAAGAATGATATCATTTAACATACATCAATTAGTCCGCCCGAGAGAATTTAGTAACAGTACATATCTAACACTCTCCCAATGAAGTCAATCGTTTCCATACAGACACATTTCAATGCTTCTTGTAGAATGAAATCCGAAGGAACGAATACATATTTTCCCATTCTTACTTACAATTCAAAGATTTCGAGTAAACGATGCAGACTTAAGAATGGACCCCCTTTCCGTGCAAGAACAACCTGCTCTAAAAGCAGCATGGGGAAGAACTATTTTGCTGAAATGTTTTATGCTTTAGCAAACTTGGTTTTGACGTCATTTCTATATCTTCTATTATATCTTGTATATAGAAGAGATCAAACGAGATGTTATCCAGATCTACACAAGAATTTGGTAATTAACAATGGCAGCACCGGCCTGCGTTCTGAGATACTGAGCCGACAACATCAATAGCCAGCGGCGTTACACAGGTTGCTATACCTGGATAAAAGGGAGATGTTTTCACATGTAACTTGTATTTTTTATATGCAGGTATAACTACTGACGTATTCCTGAGAGGCACTTATATCGGTACATTTATGATAATCAAGTTATATACAATACGTAGATACGTATATTAATTAATTTTCATTACAGCAACAAAAAATTCCAACATCCCTATTATGATTTGAAATGGTAATCTGATGAATAGACTATATTCTAAAGTTTGTTATGTTAGACCACATTTATTAATTAATGACTGCTATCTCGTCGGTACAGCGGGTAATTATTTACCATGTTTAACTTAAAATGCCAGCTCATACGAATTTTGTCCTTGAACCAGCATATTGGCACGAGTTCAATGTCATTATTACGTCACATGGAACAGACGGCTTACGAGAAGGTACAAGTACTGGGACGTGAAGGTAAAGATCAATGATGCAAGGTAATGGTAATCCGAGGTGGAGGTCATTACTGGCGTGGTAAACGGTAACACATGTCTACAGCACCACCACCGGGCCGCGTGGCGCTAAATGGCGTCACAATTGTTGTGTTTATAGTTAGCCATTCTTTCGTTTTGACCTTCCAAAAAAAAGTAAGCTTTGTGTGGGATAAAACGGGCTAAATTCTGGCTCTAGAGAAAGGCCAGAGATGAATCACTGATCTAGTACAACGGCAATCATAACCACACACCTGTATATTATCTCTAACAAACAGTGGTTGACACCTTCAAATTCCGACGGCAGATACTGACCTCCCCGGCTAATTTATCATTGTTACAAAGATATAGCCCTGGACATCGACTAGACGACAAGGTATGGGTATCTTTCACCTTAGATTATATCCCTTAAATGACCTCATACCCAGAATAGTAAATGAATCTGTAATCAACATCTCATGATGTAAAAATTAAAAGTGAGTCTATCATCAACACCGAAGTTCTTCTATAGAAATTTACAGAGAGAAAAAAGATAATAATAATAAAAATGCTCTTGTATCATTCATCTGAAGAAAGCAAATATCGGTAACAACATTATCTGCAATATATCCTGCTTTGTTATGTAATGGCTTTAAACCTAGGAACTTTGGAATATATCAGCTACCGACTTTAATAAGTATATCTATCAGTTTGAAGCAATCTATTCATATCACCAATAAATGATGGATTCTGCCAAAGATTGGACAGAGAACAGGGTAGAGAAAGTCATAAATAGGGCATCACCTTCAGCTGTTACATGTGAACGTGTTGAACACGTGTTACATGGACTGTAAGTGTTTGTTACACAACCAACTGATGTACAGCTCAGCCCACGGGAATCAATTCAGGAGCGAGAGACTGTTATATTATTCACAGAGGTGATACTCCTTATTACTGTGAAATAATAGAGATTGGCATGATATTGTCTCAGCGAAGAGACAGAATTAAATTAACACTTGCAGTGCAATGTCCTTAAATTATGCTTACCAACAAAGTATTTATAACTATATAAGCATGACGATGATACTTATAGGACTAGACATTACTTAAATCTGTTGTAGATGCGAAGCTTCCTTACAAGTCTTAATTCTATATTAACATGGTTTAAATGTTGTATGGTTGTTGATCGCCTCGTGAACAGCCAAGATAAATTTAAGGCGGAGCTGGTGGCTACCTCACTGAACAACACACGGGAGGCCCGTTGCATGTTATCCGTAACCATAGACCAGTCTGTTTCTGTTTCCCGAGAAACATAAACCGCCACGCACTACGGCCTTTCACTGTAAAGTTGTGTAACGTAGGCCAACTCTCTAACCGACCGATTTATTATAGCTCCCTTTTGTAAATGTAAAAATATACAAGACTTCTCGATGTAAGATATTTGAAAAGAGTAAATAAAAATATCAATTAAATCTTGTACTCTTGGAACAATTTTGCTGCTATTGCGTTGTCAGAAATGTTATGAGATCCAAGCGCCACGCCGCCCACTACTTAAAGCTCAAATTTGTCTGTTCTGTTGATCTAGCGACTGTAATATTTATGTGCATAACGTAATTTCCTGTTGATTTGTTTTGTGAAAATTGTAAATATCAGAACTGTAATTACATGGTTGTTATTTTATTGAATTCGTGTAATACTGTTACCCAACGTAACTGCACTTTGATGGAGGTACTGGAAAATAAAACAAGAAAAAAAGGCCCTTGATAATTTGCTTTTGAAAATGTAATGCGGAGGATAGAAGTGATATCACTGCTGTAATTGAGCTGCATGTATTTACAGTCATGTTACGTCATCACATAAGTCAATGACGTCAGACCACATTAAGAATGCACTGGCGAATTGCCAACAAGGTTCCCACGCTGTGGTTCAATAGAAGATAATGAATGTTAGAGAATATGCTTGTTCGGTGCTTATTAATAAAGACAAAATGTAGTAGCCCTAACGAGGACCAGATGTCAATATTCCTTGACACACTGATGTATATTCATATTGTATTTATACATAGCAAAAACCGTTATCAGATGACGTAACGTCACTCATGCACTGACCTGAGTATCACCATATGACAAAATGCGAAGAGTACAATGTATAGAGTAACCTTCAGACACTATGAACATCTTATTTAAATGATACTGACTATTTAGCAAGAACTTGACACGATAATCAGGAGGTGTATATAACGCAGTTTTAACACTAATTAACAGCATCTGAAAGTATTCGAAGACGTTTAAGGTCTTGTCTCTTGATTGATTTGATCAAGTTGTTCATTTCCAGTAAGTGTATTGACAATCCGGATACGGCACTCATTATACCACAGCGCTAAAACTAACTCTTCAAACTTTCATCAGACAACCATTAACAGAACTTACTATTGTCTGGTCATTACATATGACCTGCGAATAGACCTATGCACCGCTGACCCTTGAATTGACCTTCACAATGCTCTTCTGATATTGTTCATGTGTCGAGAAGATTCTCATATTAACTGTACCTTGCCCAATGAGACATAAGTATGCCCTCTCGTTAAGGGTGTTTTCCGTTGGAATGATTTTTTCGTTTCTCTCTATGTATATATATATAAACAATAACGTTACAATAACATACGCAGAAGGTATAAGTGAAGGTTACATGTGGGCTGTATTTTATTTCGCTGGAACCTTTCCACTATACACAAGAGTACAAAGGATAGACCACTGCGCCTAGCACTTAGACAAGCATTTTCCTAGTGATGGTTACACCTTAACAACTTAACAAAGGTTCTCGGTCCTACACAAGTATAGTGGTATATAACGACAACCTACAGTTCGCATCACTATCTGATATGTTGTACACGCAGTGTAAACCGAACAATGCATTGTCGTTTCCATCTTTCCAAATTGCAGAAATATCTATACAAAATGTACTTATATTTGAACAGTAAAACATTAACGAGAAAATCTCCTGTATTGTCGTGACATTATATAATGAATGAAAGTCTTGTTGTTGTTGACGTTTATAATGATTTGCAGCCATGAATTCACAGTATTGGACAAGGATTACCTACTGTCTAAAGTATTATCTCGATGTTACGGACAGACATTTCGGTAAGTCGGAATTTCGAGTTTTTAAGTAAGTATTGAAGAAAGCAGTGTTACGAATTTAACTTTTTGTAAATGTTAGGGGGTGGGGGTTGTACAAATGGAGCCCATGAAACGAGATTTCGTACAGACATGAAAGTGTATTGGTTTCAAATAGTATCTACTCATGATACCATTATGAAACAATAAGGAGGTCTGTACATGTATATTGGAACAAGTTCACGGAAAGTATATCAAACAGTCGGAGACATGCTTAGTGTGGACATTTAGAGGACGATGATGTTGGACAGAAATGAGGGACAATATGACAGAGATGACAATAATCTAGGGCAGGGGAGATGTACATGTAATGGACCGTAACACGAAAATACGCTGACGACAAGGTGGTAACATAGTAATATCATACTTACTGTTATCTTCTGTGGTCGGGAAATGTCCAGGAGTGGTGGTAGTGATGGTGGTAGGAAGGGATGGAAGTAGAAAGGATATGTTATACATTCAAGAAATCATCATTCCAATCGTCAGGCTTAAGTGGGAAAACAACCAGTTATCAAAAATATATCAACAATAAATATATAGAAACGGTTCGTGTAGAAAATATCGGCAATGCAGACTATCATAGTATGGTGAAACGACAAGGAATATGAAATTTTATAACGATGGAATGAATTTAATATTAAACGAGGTGAAGTCGTACCATCAAATATAGATATTTACGTTAGTCTCCACGAACTTTAAAAGTGAATGTATAAATACAATATATATATATGTATGTGTGTGTATATATACTGAAATGCAAAACTAGCATGCAATGAAAACAAATCAAAATTTTACGAAGACGGTTGTTTACGAAACAGGCAATATATATGTAATATTACAGAAGATAAGATATCAGAACTATATCTTAGCTCATTTGTCTCTTTCAATTATAATTTGAGGAGGAATGTTATGCAGTAAATTAAAATGACATCCACATTTGCCGGCACATATACTGTTCACAGTTACAGTACATTATCTAAATTTTAATCTCACTATTTGGTATGACTCCATCATTTCCAGAGTTGTTTCGTTACTTGCTTTTATCACTGTTAGATAAAATACACGCCCCCTTTAAAAACCATTGAAAGAGGCAATTCACCAGAAGCTCTCTGTTTGTTCTTATATGGTACAAATACACATAATTTACATGTAAATATGCTTTAATGAAATTGCTTTTTCATCCTTTAGTGGCAGTTTGGAATAAATTGGTCGTTGAGTTTGAAAGGCGTTGTTTAATAATATACAAAACCAAAGTTATACGTTTTTCAGTTTTCAGTTCCAGAATACTGACACAATACATCTACGACGTCATTTACGTCCATACTACCACGTGAAAAGCAGCGTAGCAGAAAGCTCGTAGCCCTCGCTATACTGACTCAAATTTGGCATATAATAAAGATAACAAAGAAATAATTAGTTGTAATAAAGTGGACAAGACGTTAGTGAAACGGACGCACGACACCAATAGTTTTTCCGGATACTCACTATCGTATTTCTCCTCTGTAATCGGCAACAAACACGGGGAAAGTATAGAAAAAAAGGAAAACGAGAAAAATAATTCAAACAATTGTTCAAACGTGTAACATGTATACAAATCGACGGATATAGATAACCCTTGTTTCGGAGTGCATGTGTTGGTCTCATGTCAATATACTCACTTAATGCTATATATGGATCTAGTTCTTGTCCTGTGATCGCCACATACACAGATCGGCCAAAGTGAAAAGGAAAGGTAGAGAGAGTTTAGAAATAATTTGAAGGATATAAGGTACAGAAACCATTTCCATCAGATTAAATATGATGTTTTCACTGTATGTTATGTTTATCAAATTTAAATCGTTTGATTTATGGAAGGATGTGTAACAGAATAAATTTATCACTGTTTTTTTTCAGTATTAATCATAATTTCAGTTTGAATCTATGGCTTGAGTTTGGCAAATTAAAGCTTTTTTCAATACAGTTGTTTTTTATTTATTCTTTAAATTATGTAAATCATCGTTTAATATTTAGTAAAGAACAAACACAACAGCCATATAAAAGTATAAAGCTTGAACATTTTAACAGCAGCTAGGCAGTCACATTGACAGTCTGAGATCATGTGTGATCAGCAACGAACGGACATTTCACATCGACAGCAAACAGAACGTTTCACATTTCCTGTTATATTGCTAATTCCAGGCATACACAAAACGTGTGTTGTTGATAAACAAAGTGATAAGAACATATCAAATCTCCTCTTGTTAGGAACCAAAGGCATCACAAAGTTTTATACAAATTAAATCTGATTTTTCCCAATTTTCATCTTTGATATAATTTCTTGTTTTGCTTATTTCAGGGATCAGTCAAGAAATCATTGCATATTATTGCCAATTCTAATTATCACTATAAATATAAAGATGTAAAGTATTGTTTATAATCCCATGAATGACATCATATCTAGTGGGCATGATCAATATCATTCATGATTTTTTTGGCTCTTTTTCTCATTCCAGGTAGTATATCATAGCAGCATAATACCAGGTTAAAGATAATATGCCATTGTATGGTATTCTTAATCCTAGGTAGAAGATAATAAGAACACATATAATGTTATTATTTATCAAATGTGTCAGAACGCTGTCGTTATTGTTAATCACAATTGCCTACCTTATTGGAAAAGTACAATAATAAAAGCGAAAACATGTTATACTACGATCGAAGATACCACTAATAAGTGCCAACAAACGTTTTGAAGTTTTGCGGTTATTCATCAAGCACGCTACGAAGCAAAATTGGGTTCGTACGGTAGCATGTAGTCAAATGATAAAAAATAAACAGACAGGAGCTCGAAAGGCGACACCACACAAAGCGATGTATAACCAGACCGACTAAAATAACATCTATGTAATAAAACTAATTAGAAATTTACAAGTTTGAATAATGGTGCTAAGCAGATAAGTTGAGTAAATCATACAGGTTAATTAAAATGACAATATTATCACTAGGCCTCAGTGTGTTGTCTTAACTTTAGCTAAGTAATATAAGCCTCCAAACAAGAGGAAACGTGTCTTGTAATTATAGTATCTATATGAAGAAGAGAGAGGGGAACTCATACATCACAGAACATGTTTGTGTGAGCAACACATGACCTACATTTAATATGATAAAACTGTGGTGAGTGTGATCTACACATTCGTATGAAACTGGCACCGTGAATACCACTTGTCTAGTTCATATGACAACGTCCAAGACTTCGTAGGCAAATTTGCTGTGTTTATATACCATTGGTAAAATCTATGGATTTCGGGCTGATAAAATACAAAAGTTTGAAGACTGGGGTAGCAAACCATGCAGTGCAAAAGACAAAGCGAAAAACCACTGCAAACCCATGACAACGTATTACTTACTCTTTTTCCTCACACCGGAAGACTCTGGGGTCCCTGGTGTAAAGGGTTCGCTCTCCATCTCAGCACCACTTAACTTTCGGCTGAGATCAAGTGGAAGTAAATCTGGCCTTTCTATGATGAAACCATTCTGCATGCCATTTTGTAAAAATTCTTCATCATAATGAATTTCAACTTTTGGTGCAAAAATAGGCAACTTTCCTTGAATCGTTTCCTCCATGTCTTCCTGTGTTTCTTCGGCGTCAACTTCGTCTTTGTACCTTCCTGATTTGACCCTTTCGTTGTATTCATGGGCGTCAAAGTGTGGTAGCGGGTAGAACAATGGTTCATCCGCCGGGTAATAACAAACGGGTTCTGATGGCTCCCGCATTTCATGTTCAAGAAGTGGCGGTGGTGGTGCCTGTGGTGGTGCCTGTGGTGGTGCCTCTGGTACTACCGGTTCCGGAATAGGAGTTGGCTGGTATTCCGGAAGTGGAACCTGATCTGGAACCTTAAATTGTGGTTGCTCCGGTGGCATTCTAACTGGCTTCGGTGCTTTAGCTGGTAAAGGTCTTGGTTCCGTTGGCTGGTTCATCGCATCCGGAAGATAGTTAGGTTGTTCTGTTTTACTAGACATGGTACCCTTGATATCCCGTACCATAAACACACGAGGCTTACGGACGGATTCGTCGGGTCGCGCATAGTCCTCATAAGTGTGCTCCTTTCCTTGTCCAAAAATCATTGGTGTATAATTCTCCTTGAATTCATCACGGAGGTTCTTGATTTGGAACTTTACAGGACTCACGTTGTTTGCCATCTGGTTTGAGTACGAGGTGACCCGAGTGGTTGTCTGTTGGCTTGTAACCGTTCCTGGTTGTGTCTGCACCACTTGTTTAACGAAGCCTTTAGTGTGTTGTTTGCCGTCCCCGGACGTCTGCTCGTAAGATCCGGTCACCACGTTGGTCGTAATGTTGCCATCCCGAAATGTCTGAGAGGTTGTTTTTTGCCCAGGTTGTCCTCCAACACCATTGCTCATAGGTGCTGCCACAGGCTGCTGGTCTCTTTGCTCGACTAGCTGCGGAGACTGGAATGACCCTCCTTCTCTACAGAAACAAAGAGGGTGAATAGACAATTAATGTTAATTGACGCGGCATGTTGTTAAGTGGTCACACATTACTTTTGTACTATGTATAGAACGATATCTAGAAATGCCGTCGAACAGACTCAATACCAATACCAGAGGTCAAACACTTCATACATAAATTTTCATAAACGTTGATCTGCATAGATTAAAAAAATATAAGAATTAAAATAGAAATACTGATGACAAACAATAAAGGAAATAACAATTGCATTCTGTGGCACACACTTATTAGTACAAAGATGGTCATAAGATGACATCTACGTATCAAACGTATACATTTAAACGTCGTATGTTACTGATATAAAACTCGTCCTTAAGGAGTCGATTGTGACGATAAATCCAAATTGTCCCCTTTATATACCCCAATAGACCCTTGGGTCGGACCAACTTCACTCGTAAATGATGTTGTTTTCCAGAGAAATATTATGGTCAAATACGTCTGAAGACCGATATAGTTCATTCTATAAAGCCGTTCCACGGGCCGACAAAGCATTTTATAGTTCCACATTTCTTATAAAATTATATTGGTGTTCCTTTTAGTGTTAGTTTGGTTTTAAAAGCAGAAATATCGTATGAACAAAACAATTAACACAGAATCATAAATTGAAATCTTCTCCATAAAATAATCAATATTGAAATCTATTAACCCAAATATATCAAAACTTAAAAATCACTCGAAAGAAAATAAACACAGTAAACGACAGAAGTCACACTATTGTATAAAAGTAGCATTCCTTTTGATTAGGAGAACTAAACATCACACGATTTAAACGGAAGCATCTTCAGCGATAGGCTATCCATAACTATGAACGGAAATATTGATTCAAATACCGCGCAATCTCATTGATATGTTATCTGTAACTTACAGAGGAAGTAATACTTGAAAATAAGAAGTTTGTTGAGTGATACCCTGACAGCGAAAAGATACAAAGCGTAAAGTAGTGTTATTCAAGTCATCTATCCAATGCTTGAAAAACGGAAGTTAATCTAGATTATCTATCACACGGTATATATCAAAATGCGTTCAAACTGAAATTCTAAAATCGAACAAATTGACAGCTTTAATTTTGCTTTTGAGATGCCCCCTGATACGTCACTATCTTCCGGTTATCGTATCTAAGGAAGTGTAGATATCTCCTAGCACCTAGATAAATATTTTTATAATCTAATTATGACATCATGTTAACTAGCACTGTCACAGTTTTAAGAGAAGTCAAATATCTAAAACAAGTATGATACAAATGCAATTCGTCAATTGGTTATTGATCAATCATACTCATATTGACCAATGACTGTCCGCGGCAGCATATTATTTTGTTCAATAACCTATGGAAGGCTACTTACATCCAATCATATTCAAAGGATATATAACATGTATGGATCTTGTACAATACATATACAAAAGAAGAAAAACAATCATCATATTTTATGTTATTGTATGTTAAACTATATCACCTTAGTGAGACTTCAAATACACTCATGGGCGGTAACGCAACGCTATACTACAGATAATAGTGAATATCAAATGCAGCGTGGCCAGGCCAAATGGAAGTAACTTGTTACCTATTTACAACGTTAACCCTGACTAATTAGCTCTGTAAGTTAATATTTCAGCTGCACGTGCTTCATGTGTATAGCATTTGCATGTTTTGGTTCTATGGCACTGATTGATACTGCAAGCACGGAGGTAGCAATGCGAACGAAACCGCTAAATCAAAAGGTGACATCAGAGTTGGAACATGACTTACTATGTGATCTTAAAAAATATCTACCTCTGGACCGTTATATTGAGCTTATCCCCAGCGTTGTCCACCTCGTACATGGCGTCGTGGTGGGATTTGCCAACCATCGAGACGCCATTGATGCTAAGAACCGTGTCACCTTCCTGGAGGCCACCCGTACACGCCTTGCTTCTCTTGCGGATCTGAAATATTAAAATACGTTTTTATATTACGATGTTATATTAGATTTGCACTTTTTATGCACTTTCTACTTGTGTCGGTTTCTCAACTTGCGGGAGAAAAACGTTATATACATGTTTCAGAACCAGCTCGAAGTGTCGTTGAAATGGCTAGAATCTCCACTTAATGTCGGGTTGATATCTGCAGTATTATTTCTACCCATTTTATTGATGTATAGAAATTTGATATCAAATGGATTAGATTGCGGCTAAGAGTCTATACTGGTCGACTCTTAACTATAGCATCACAAGATGTTCCTCCTTTCGGCAGTCAAAAGTAATAATCTACTTCGAACATCACCCATTACAAATATTGGTTCTTTTCCAGAAATTACCACTACAGTACAACAATGAATCATTCGTGGAAACATTGTTATAGGAACCTGACAGTAGTGCGTAGTAGCAAATCACAAGTAATAATTACTGTTGCTTAATTTCCGTCTTGAAGTGTTTTTAACTCATCGCCCTCGACCACTAATCAAGCTACAGGGGATTAAGTAGAGAGACACTCAGTACTAGTACTACTAAACTACCTTACATACTCACGTGAAGATATCAAACAATGATACCTATGATTTAGAAATAACCATTCAGTACTTTCTGACAATACTAATCCTCAGACATAAATGATACAGATGGGCTCCTGTCGGTAAAGTTTTACTCCGGTCAGTCTCAAAAATTATGTATTAATCAAGGAAAATCTTCATATGATGTTTGAGATAGATCCATTTAAGATTTCTAACGAAATCCTGATAACCAAACTGTTGTAGAAAAAACCTTTATCCAGACTTTGTAATTTCTCGCTAATTTATTTTCACAGTGTTAAGGCAACAACACAAAGAAGGTGATTATATCTCTATCAAAGTTATTAATAGAACCAAGTAAGCAATATGTGAAGTTTTGATACTGAGTACATAAAATCTAAGACCCGTTTGATAACATCTAAACTGTTAAATATATAATACATTGTGACGCCATGAGCAAATTATCTGATTTAGGATGGTTTTACAATTATACCCAAAATATAGCGAATACAAGATGCCACGTGTTTGACTTCTGATTAGTAACGATATTAAAGCTTATTGATTGACTAAAAAATGTCCGGCGAATATAGAAATAAAGCTTGACGGATTAGTTAAAGCGCCCCAGTGGATTTCACATTCAGACAGTGATAGTATTAAAGGCAGGTAGAGCCACAATCATTAGCATTCCGGATCTGATGCGCTCGTCAGAAATTTGCAAAAGAAGTGAAACCGTCGCGTATATATGTAAAATGTTATATTTCGCAGCAGTTATCAGGCGATATGACTGCAAAAATTTCGTCATTAAAAAGTTGGAAAATTATCAAATATCTATGATATGCAAGCAGTTTTCTCGGTGCGAGCGGGTTACTTCACTCCAATCTATGTACAACGCTGTTGGCCAACAGGTGGCAGTTAGACAATCATACGATACACGCGTGTTCATAACACTAAATACATGCAATTATTGGGTTTTCATTCTAGAATCGACAAAACACAAACGCAATGTATTGATATGTTGCTAACAATTTTCAATCGCGATGATTTTAACTGAACAGGATCAAAGTGAACAATTATCATAATTACATGGTACAGATTTGATGATGAAAGTTACTTTTAATATGCGAGTGATTTCTACATTTCTATATTTAATACAGTATATTACTTGGCGCTATTGAACACTTAGTTTTATACCACAAGTATAAATATCAAACGTATCTGTATAACAGATCATAGCCATACAACAAACTGATGGAATAGTGGTTTAAAATTGAAGAAAACCAGTTAGAAAGGTAGAAATTTTCAGAGCTTTAAGGCCTTAGAGTAGTGTAGCTAAGTTATATACTTCAAAGCAGTAACAGTTCCTATGTTCATGGCTACAAAAACCTCGCTTATCGGAAACAGATAGCTTACAATAATACTGGCAGGCTGGCAGTATATATACTCATAACAGTGCATGACTTGTTGATCTGTTGGAGTGCTTTTCTGATAGCATTTGGAAAACATTTCATGTAAGATATAAAAACACATTTTATAACAGAAAAAAAGTAAGGTGCTATTTTCCTGTTATCTCCGCTCCATGAAACAAGGTGAGCACCTTTGATTTCCAGAAGTCATTTCGAAACGTATTGGCACAATAAATTTCGGCAGCATGGAGAAGTCAGGGTTATCTTTGAAAACATCTCTACAGAAGAAGAATCTCTCACTGCATGTAGCTTCATCTGTTTCTGATAAGCAATGCTGTTTTAATATTGAAGTTGGTTTTGATTGTTGGTCATGTTTGGGCTTGTAATTGTTTTGACTCGTCAGACAATGAACAAAGGCCAAGACTATTCTCAACGTATATTTAATGCGTGATGCTAAAAACACCGCGTGTTGAATTTTAAAATGAATACAATATGTTTGAAGAACGTAAGAACATATTGTTCTACTATCGATATTTTCTTTAATATTAGAGATTTATGAACACACACGCTAAGTCTAAGGATGTTGAAAGAAGCTCCTGGAAACACAAAGAATCCATATATAAGATATGTTCTAATAGTTCAGTAAAATCGTCGATCGGTTTATCGATCGTTCGCGTGATTTATAATGATTAATATTTATAAAGAGCTGGTCTAAGTGATATACGGTGCGGAAACAGAACTACTCCTCCAAAATCACTAGTAAAATTATCATCAGATAAATTGTCACGTGTTCATGAATTAACTTATAAAAACACAAACGAAATTTCAAATAAAACAGAAAAAAACACCCTTTAAACATACAAACAACTTGAGATTTTTATCGGTCCAACTGTAAACGTTGAAAACACAGAAAATAGAAAGCAAATCAGCCATAATCATACTACTTTGATGTTGTTTATCAATACTTTTTCTTACTACTTGTAATAGTTATTTCAATGTTGTCCAACATGTGTAACAGCTAGTGGCTACCTAACTGAGCAATATACAGTGGGCCTGTTCATAGCAAATAGGGTAAGGTGTCTTGTGTGAGGAGACAACTACGTCCACACAGACAGGTCTTTTTCTCAGCTTCCTGAGAAACACGCCCCACCTGGGGTAGGAAACGTCGAACCACACACCTCGGACCGTCACCTGTGATTACGTTCTGCTACATCATTCAATATAAACTGTATAATTACTATCTGTATATATGAACAAACACAACAAAAAGAGAAAAAATAAGATTTGAACCATTTTACAAATCCATCTCTGTAGGTAGATATATTACTACACGTACAAGCAAAATGTAAATTGATAATATATATATACAATAAAATCTAGCTGAAAGAAAATACAATATACAGTGTTAATGTTATATTTACCTGAGATATATTCCTTTTCAAAACAGTTTGTCAGACTTAGAATAAGTAAAAACACTGGGATGAATGTGTCGCCACCTAGCACTATTTACTAGCGGATGTGTGACACCTACAGAGACAGGATACCGTCTGTAACCCACTGTCTACCTGAATATCTCACCTGCACGGTATTGCAAAACATTGATATCGTAACAGAATACCTGAACAAGCCGTAGTACCATATATATGGTGAATGACACTGTCTCACATACTTATTAAATCCACATAGTTGTCATTCAATGTGTACCATGACTATCTCTATATATCACCCAAACATTTTGTCAGCATATCAATTACATAAAAACTTTCGATGTTGTGTGTATAGACTCGCCTAAAAGTAACACATCCTTTGCTTTTCTCGTTTCACACTGGTTACCATATAATACGTAGACGTTTATTATGACAGAAATAAAAAGATGTTCTTAACATCATTGATTTATACTTGACCGTGGCTCTTTTCTTGACCAATAATCGCTGTCAAATATTACAGTACACTCAATCTTTCATGATTCGTTTAACAGTATTATCAAAATAATTGATGTCTGATTTTTTTTTATTTTTCAGATAAGAAAACACATTTCAGGCTATTGAACATTTCCCACTAATTGATTCTCTTCATAGTGACAACAGCACCTAAACACATAGGAAATCCTTACTATACGCTGCATTATATTTTCATTCACTACTTGTTAGATTTGTACCGTAATATTCAATCAACAAAATTGAAATTGCAAATGTTCAATGTTCAAAACAATGCAAGTTGTATGTCGTAATGTGCATATATTCTGGCAAAAACAAGCACACAGAGTGGGGGAGTTATTCAATGGTTGTTTGCGTGGCACGAGTACTCAAAGTCTGTCTCCGATGGTTGCTTGGTTACAGGGTTTGGTATGTACTCAGTTACTTTGATTCTCAATGCACATGAAAATAGTTTGATATGTACTCGATGGGCATTAATGGACCAATCGTTTGGCACTTGGTAACTTCTAAGCCATAGTGCATGGGCCAATGGTTTGGTATCTGGTATGATCTCGTTAGCCCGTAAGGTCACAGTACACGGTCCAATGGTTTGGTATCTGGTATGATCTCGTTAGCCCGTAAGGTCACAGTATACGGGCCTATGGTTTGATAGGTACTCGGGTTCGTAAGACACGCGCCTATGGTTTGATAAATACTCGGTCTCGTAAGACACGGACCTATGGTTTGATAAGTACTCGGGTTCGTAAGACACGGGCCTATGGTTTGATAAGTACTCGGGTTCGTAGGACACGGGCCTATGGTTTGATAAGTTCTCGGGTTCGTAAGACACGGGCCTATGGTTTGATAAGTACTCGGGTTCGTAAGACACGGGCCTATGGTTTGATAAGTACTCGGGTTCGTAAGACACGGGCCTATGGTTTGATATGTACTCGGTCTCGTAAGACATGGGCCAATGGTTTTTGTACGTACTAGTTAGCTCCTATGCGGTCACTGTACATGGGCCAATGGTTTGGTATGCATTCGGTCTCGTAAGACCAAAGCGCTCGGAGGCTATTTGGACTGTAGAACACAAGCCAAAGGTTTAGTAGATATACGACGACGGTGTGCCAGGTAGTGTTATATATACACACCTGGCGTGAATATGTCAGATGCTGCCTATCCGAAACACGTTGATTTAGTCTCGATATTATTACATACTTGTGGATGATGAGATGAACACCAGATGTACACAGACCCACCAGGTACATGTGATGTATCGCCCTCCTCCTCACTACGATAATTACTGGTAACACTGCAAAACCCAGTGCCGCAATGACCTTGTAAAAATTATACAGAATCAGATCATACTCTAATGTCAAGAAGAAGTACTGATGTTGAGATTTAACAATGAATTACTTTTCATGGAAAGGTACATGTTTATGTGTCAAAGTGAGAATTAAATCATTGCCCTAAAACACTTTCTTGAAATCCGCTAGTCACGTGACATATGAATATAACGGCGTGCCAAACATATGTTTTATGAGGAAGCAAATATTGGGCTGATTTGCGTCAAAACTGCCAATGATGTAAAATCATAAATACAGAATATGGCTGAAATGTTTGTTTGTTTCCAACAGATCAAAATGTTCACAAAGACTTGTATTGAAAACAAATCAAAATTTATGTATAAACTATTTCAATGAATGAGTCCAAAAATATTTAATAATATTTCAACAACATTAAAAAATTTAAGTAAAACCTTCTTCGGCCACCTCACTCAAAAAGACAAAAAAAGCAACCAACCAAACAAAACAAACAAACAAACAAACAAACAAAAACAAATCCTCTCCAGTGTAACGTCACAATGTCTACAAAGTACAGTGTAACGTCACTATGTCTACAAAGTACAGTGTAACGTCACTATGTCTACAAAGTACAGTGTAACGTCACTATGTCTACAAAGTACCGTGTATCGTCACTATGTCTACAAAGTACCGTGTATCGTCACTATGTCTACAAAGTACAGTGTAACGTCACTATGTCTAGAAAGTACAGTGTAACGTCATTATGTCTACAAAGTACAGTGTATCGTCACTATATCTACAAAGTACAGTGTAACGTCACTATATCTACAAAGTACAGTGTAACGTCACTATGTCTACAAAGTACAGTGTAACGTCACTATATCTACAAAGTACAGTGTAACGTCACTATGTCTACAAAGTAGAGTGTAACGTCACTATGTCTACAAAGTACAGTGTAACGTCACTATGTCTACAAAGTACCGTGTATGTACGTCACTATGTCTACAAAGTACAGTGTATCGTCACTATGTCTACAAAGTACAGTGTAACGTCACTATGTCTACAAAGTACAGTGTAACGTCACTATGTCGTCACTATGTCTACAAAGTACAGTGTAACGTCAAGTACAGTGTAACGTCACTGTCTACAAAGTACAGTGTAACGTCACTATGTCTACAAAATACAGTGTAACGTCACTATGTCTACAAAGTACAGTGTACGTCACTATATCTACAAAGTACAGTGTAAAAAAGTACAGTGTATCGTCACTATGTCTACAAAGTACAGTGTATCGTCACTATGTCTACAAAGTACAGTGTATCGTCTATATGTCTACAAAGTACAGCGTAACGTCACTTTGTCTACAAAGTAAAGTGTATCGTCACTATGTCTACAAAGTACAGTGTAACGTCACTATATCTACAAAGTACAGTGTAACGTCACTATGTCTACAAAGTAGAGTGTAACGTCACTATGTCTACAAAGTACAGTGTAACGTCACTATGTCTACAAAGTACCGTGTATCGTCACTATGTCTACAAAGTACCGTGTATCGTCACTGTGTCTACAAAGTACAGTGTAACGTCACTATGTCTACAAAGTACAGTGTAACGTCATTATGTCTACAAAGTACAGTGTAACATCACTATGTCTACAAAGTACAGTGTATCGTCACTATGTCTACAAATTACAGTGTAACGTCACTATGTCTATAAAGTACAGTGTATCGTTTATATGTCTACAAAGTAAAGTGTATCGTCACTATGTCTACAAAGTACAGTGTATCGTCACTATGTCTACAAAGTACAGTGTATCGTCACTATGTCTACAAAGTACAGTGTATCGTCACTATGTCTACAAAGTACAGTGTATCGTCTATATGTCTACAAAGTACAGTGTATCGTCACTTTATCTACAAAGTACAGTGTAACGTCACTATATCTACAAAGTACAGTGTAACCTCACTATGTCCATAAAGTACAGTGTAACGTCACTATATCTACAAAGTACAGTGTAACGTCACTATATCTACAAAGTACAGTGTAACATAACTATATCTGCAAATTACAAATGTTAGTCAACATGTCTACCATGTTCACTGTAGGTAGGTACAGTATAAGGTATTATGTTTACATAGCACAGTGTAACGTCTACATATCCAGATAGTTCACTGTAGCATCAAAATATCCATTAAAAACGGTGTGGTGTCAAAACGTCCACAAAACAGTGTGGCGTCAAGATGTCCACAGAAGTCACTGAAGCGTCAAAATATCCGTGAAGTACGATGACGTGTCTAAATGTACACAAGTACACGTTAACGTGGAAACACGTGTATAAAATACGGTAAAAAGTAACTAAAGTAAACAAACCATTTCTCGTTAGTGATGTGATCACACCAAAAATTAGGAAAATGCTTACCTTTGCTATTTGCAATGGGTATTCTTCCCCACCGATCAGCCGAAACCCCCAAGGTCCCCCTCCTATTAAGGTCACGGTCAACTTCTGGCTAGTTACCATAGTGGACTGTGTCTGTTCCTAAGTCGATAAGATGTCCGTCCGTCCGCACGTCAGAGCGTGATGGGTACTAGGAACGCTTTCACATCTTCATGGTTCGACAAATCAGGCCCTGAAAAAATATACAAACAGTTGTTAAACAAAATTATTTCTGAGTAAGTGAAAATAAAACAGCCGTTTAAAAGCTGTTTTTGAATCTACAGTATCTATGTTTTAGTAGACTCAAGTAGAATACCACGTTATATCAACCGTTTTCATCCAACAACCATTACTACATAGAATTATCATGTTGAATGGACGTACATTGATACACATGCACTAAAAGAGTAGATAACTCCACGGAAAGTACACAGACAAGATATTCTATATCACAAACACGAGTTCTTCCAAGTGTACTAGAAAAGATGTAAGGATGCAAGTTTCTCCTCTAAGCTTAATAATAACGCGATTTTGATTCTGTATTTCTAACACAGAGAATGATGAAGTTGAAGCTGGCATTCCTTTAATAGGACTTAGTCGTGTTTCTGTTGTTTACCTAACTCTAGTCAGATGTATACACAATAACACTCGGCAGGGCTAACAGCACAGTTTGGCACCGGAGAGTGTAGGCGGCGAAACCGAAAGTAAGCAAGTAAGCCCCCTACGCCAGTGGGCATTACTCAGATAACGTTTCAGATTTCTGCAGTGTTACAACAATCGGTCAGTGTGTTTGGTGCCGATAGCAGTAAGTGAATATGTCCCATCTGATATTGAACAGTTGTATAACCTTCAACACGCGCACAGAGAAAGAACACAGACGTACTTGAAGTGGCTGAACTTCAGAGTGTGGTTTCCTCGTTAAATATCATGAAACGTCAGCAAGGAAAGTGTCAGGTCTCAGACAGAGCATATTAACGCCGACTACCACGTCTTACAGTCAATGTGATTTTACTTCTATCGCTGTGTGTGGAACGTTTTTATGTACATGTGGTTGTATTTTGAAATCATTGGATGTTTTTACTGACAGATATACAAGAACAAAGATGTAATTCACTTCTGTGTATTTCCGCAGAATCCATAAAATGCCCAGTGAGATAGAACAAGATCCTTTTTTGTATATTGTAATCATATCATATATGTTACATCTATTGTAAATGCTATGTATCAATCTTATGTTCATGGGAAGCTTACAGAGTTGCCTCCCTTGGTATACGCGAACATATGGTTTGGATTGACTTAATATTGCCAAAGTTCTACTGATGACGAATCTATGGAATCCATATTCTGTAAGAATATGTGTATCTACAATTTCAAAACTATTTTCAAAATGAAAGCTAAAATATTGGGTGTTTAGGTTGTTGGCACAAAAAAGCATGGATTGAAGAATAGATAACTCAGTAACTGTGGAATTTTCACTAGCCTTCTGGTACTGTTTTCTATAGTAGAAAAAATATTCTTCATAAGGAGTCCTGTATGACATTGGTACAAATTGTATAAGGATGTTACAATGGGTGTAGATAAACACTTATAAGTCAAATAAATTATCAGGAGTGTTGAAGACAATGCTCAACTGATTTATTTTTCAATTTATGAGAATATCTCAAGACGAATATTTTAGACGTGATACACCACAGAAAATGCCCTTTCTTTTGTAGAAGTCTTTATTTAGCATGAAGCAATTACTCTGCTATTTCACGAGCAATCTATCTAGATAAGCTTTAATACTGATGTTTTCATCATTAATATTTTACAAATTTAAACCTACTTTGTTGCGTAAGACTGAATAATGCGAACGCGAAAAAAATATCATGTTTATGACTATTTTGATCGTAAAGATTACAAAAATGAGAACTAGACAAGATTAATACCTAACATCCTGTTCTGATTATGTAATACCCAGTAACGACGGCCTAGACATCCAGTAAACAATGCTCATCATCTGACGAGATAAGAGCCTTTTGAACGAAAACCCCAGACACAGAATAGGACTAGGCCGACTCAGATCTTCGGAACCCAAAGACCGTTATTACTCTCACCAGCACATCTAATCCACTGAGAACGGTACCATTCGGTTCAATCTCGGTATGTTGGAGTTACTGAGTAAAGTACAGACATAGATACACCTGAATGTTACCTTAACAAATGACGTCATCGTTCACTGACGCACCTGACGTAAATCAGATTGGGGTTAATTAAGCATCACATGATCACCGACAGATGGCTGCGTTTCCATGACAACATGCTTTGCTGCACACTCTGTGATTGACGAGTATATTTCCCATGTCATTCTATAAAAAGAATGGTCTAATTCAAAGCTTAATTAAAACGTGTTATTTATCTGGGTTTTAAGTGTCCATTAACCGATATCCGATGCTTAATTGATATTTGCGTATTTCATGGTGTACGTGTTTGACTCCTGAGTGTATCTGAGTCCGATATGAAAATAAATGTTATTGAACAACGTATTATAGATTCCTGAAAGTAAATGATGAGTGACTACCTATTTGACCTTATGTCTGATTTGTATATCAATTGACCTGAGTGCATATAGTGTCTAGGTATACGTATTTGACCTGCGAGTGTATATAGTGTCTAGGTATACATTTTTGGCCTGTGAGTGTAGCTAACGTCTAGCTGAGTATTTGATATGAGATTGTATCTGGTGTCTAACTATACATTTTTGGCCTGTGAGTGTAGAGAACGTCTAGCTGAGTATTTGTTATGTGTTTGTATCTGGTGTCTAGCTATACATTTTTGGCCTGTGAGTGTAGAGAACGTCTAGCTGAGTATTTGTTATGTGTTTGTATCTGGTGTCTAGCTATACATTTTTGGCCTGTAAGTATAGAGAACGTCTAGCTGAGTATTTGATATGAGATTGTATCTGGTGTCTAGCTATACATTTTTGGCCTGTGAGTATACCTTGTGTATCTAAGGGTGTAAGTAATGCGTACTTATCTGTTGACCGTGAAGTGTAAGCGATTTTGTAATATGTTAAGCCCCAATGCGTAACAAATACATCACGACTGACGTACATGCAGGTAGTTGACCCATACAAGTGTAAACGATACGAAAGTACATATTATAGCAATGTATCTGATGTGTAACCGTGTATTTTATCTATTCACATATGTATTTATGTTTTAACTCTTCAGTCTAATAAGTTACATCTAAGTAATTGACAGATATTAATGTATATATGTGAGTACATATTTGATCATCAACGTGCGAATGTGTAACGCACTGTTTGATCCTGAAATTAACTGATCAGTTTAACACCAAGTGTAATTGATGCGGTACTATCTGACTGACTCCAAAGTATAATTAATGAGTAAGTACGTATTTAACACCTAACGAAATCGTAACAGATGTGTGACGTCTACGTATTTGACATTTGACCCTAACGTGTCGTTTAGTCTGGTAGCCGACAGAATATTGTTTACGATTTGATTTTGTCAATGAAACTTATATATCATATATATAACTGAGCACGTGCCACCACTTGCCCTAGTTTTCATGTAAACAGTTTTCCCAGCATTTATCAGAGGTTCTATGTCAGAAAGTACAGAGCGTACTGTGTAAACACGCGAACAAACACGTGTTATCTGGTCATATTTTTATTGGAAGATCTCGAGGTTTCGTTAGAGATACACTCGATGTCAGGGGTCGGGTATTTCATTTAAAAAAAATAAAGGCGTGTGCGTCAATATAAATCTATTTATCATGAGTTCAAATAATATTACTATATCTTGTTTTATGTGTTTGACTGTAATCTAGTATACAGTAAACTTGTCAAGGTGGAATTAAAAAAAGTATGATAACATTTTACGAGAGCATAGAAACTTGGCAAAAATTCTCAACCTCACGGTCCTGAGGACAATTGGATAGCAGGGTAAAATAATCTTCATGTTCTGGCGAGTGGGATTACATTTTCTCGTGACTCCTGACGTGGGTCATTACACATAATAGTCATCGTGTCATCTTTAAGGTCGCCCAAAGAGTACATCCACACTATTTGTTACGAGGAAAGGAAGGCTAAAAAAATAAAGAAATAATAATCCCCGATTAATATTAAAATTTAGTCTTCTCTCCTCATAACCAAGGATGAAAACAATGGTGAACAAGAAGTGTGAATTGTCGCCCTCTCGAAAAGGCGAAATGATGACAGGTCATGGTGTTACAGTTACTAAACACTGTATAATTCAGATACATGTACATTGTAACATTGCTGGGTATCTGACTGTCTCTCTGGTATGTGTGTAACACGTACTTTGAAGGCGTGGTGTAAAGTTGTCATGTTTCTACTTTCTATCAATCATTCAAATAACGCTATTCTGCATAGAAAAACATATTGACAGTATGATATACAATTACTATAGAGTTCCTAGTCGGTAGTACACAATATCGATGAATATTACATATATATGCTCATTCGTATCAGGTAGGGCAATTATTATCATAAGATATTCTTATAAAGTACATAGTTTCTTCAATGTCTTTTTTTTAATTAGCTGTATTCACTAATTCATTGAATAAAATTATGTTAGGTCTCTTCCAAAAATATGCATCTATATATGAGATTCTGTTTACAGATAATGGAGGACATTTAAGTAGGTAATGAAATTCGTCACCAATTTCTTTTTGTGTCAGTTCCGACAATATATTTGTGATTATTTGTTCGAAATTTACTAAATGTAAGTATACCTCCTTTATCATATATCTAGATAATACTCAAATTGACTATTGTTTTTTTTTTAGATTCTTCATCGTGTTGCTTTTGATGAATTTTGTACATCACTTTCCCACTTTGACAAATATGGTCATACAGTCTTTGTTTAATAATATTTTTCACCCATTTAGTATTAAATTCTGCAGTATATTGAGCGTTCCATAAATATGACCACATCCACTTAAAACACGTTAAAAGAGGCCTATGTATGCAAAAGACTTACCAACAAAATTATCACATACAAGTTTATACAATATAGTGTTCATTCTACAATTTGTACTTTCTTCAGAATCAGCCAACTGTGACCAATATGTTAATAGTTTTGTTTTGACTGATGTTTCTAGGGGACACGTACCTAATTCCCCGTATACCATGTTACTTGGAGTACTAATTTTTAACCTTAGTAA